TTTCAATTTGAAGTAGCTGCGGTAGGCAGGCAGCCCACTCAGTTGAATGGTTTGCCTACTGCAGCACACCCTGAAGAACACCTCTGTGATGTGTACAAGGGCATAGTGTGTGGCGAGCTTTAGAAGGGTTGGGACAAGCCATATTATAATGCCGGAGATACTTACAACGGTCAACTTTTATCCATGAGGCTTAAACTTTATTAACTTTAAGTCTATTGTTGTAACTGCTTAAAAAGTGTTAGCTTTTATCCATGAGGCTTAAACTTTATTTCCAGAAAAAAAATAAGTCTATTGTTGTAACTGCTTAAAAGGTGTTGGCTTAAGCTAGGCTCTGATTTGTTTTTCACTTACCTAAAGTCCATTTAAAATTATTTGTCGATGTAAGACTACCTGAGGATGGCCTCAGGAAAACCAAAACTGCTGTTAGTGCTACTCTAAAACTGCAGCATATGACATACATGTCATTTTTTATTTTGCCCAGGGCCCCAATTTAATCGTACATGCGTCAATACAAAAGGTGAGCCATTTACATGTTAGAATTGGGGTGCTTATAAGCTGATGTCTCACCATTGCCACACTAGCCCAGGTATCTCTCTCTGCTAGCTCAGAAGGATATGAAAGATAGGCAACAAGCACATGCATCAGATAAGCCATGTGGGCAATATCTGACTTCCAAAAGATATTATTTACCTACTGAAACGTGAACCCGCACGTTTAGATCACCTAAGCATATAAGTTATTTCCTATGGAGGGAGGAGAGTGGCCAGTTACACCCAGAGCCAGCCTAATTCCAGGCACAATGCTGGTCTCTCAGTGAACCCAACCCAGTCGATCTTGAACTCTCCAAAAAAGTTGAACTGGGAACAGCTATGTAAACCCACAGGCAATTATCACCAAAAACTGGCCATAAAAGTTGCCACAGGGGGGTCAGCTTATGGTGTCTATACTTTACATTTATAAGTAGTAAGCCCAATGGCCAGCCTCACCCCCCTGATCCAATGTATACCCCCCAACATAGACCTCAGACCAGCAGATGACCACGTATGAATGCTAACAAGCTTCTCATTGCTCCAGTGAAGCGGCGGGTCTACGGCATGGCTTATTTTTCCATAGCATATATGGAGAGCTGTCTCCTTGCAAGGAAAATATTTCTCCATTATAGTCTTTGGGAAAATGCTGTGCAGTACCCATTGGCCAGCTGTCTCACTGGAAGACTGGAACATAGAACGATGTGAGCACACGGTCATCCGCTGATGCCAACAAGGTCAATGTTAGCAGTATACAGTACATCATATGGAAAAAACTGGGGGGGCTGGGGTGTCAGAGAGTAGTTGGGCTGTTTTAAGTTCTTATAAAAGTAAAGTTATAAGCTCCTTGTCAGTAAATTTCACCTATGAAGATGATGTGATACTCTGCCAAGCTTTACCTGGGAGCAAGGAATATTTTCTTGATGTTCACTGCTTTTTGTAGTGTACCAAAGAGGAAAAAAAACCCAACCATTTTCAATATGGCAAATATTCCATACATAAAAGGCGCGCACACACATATCATACATCTATACACGTGTTTGTGCCAGAACAGTTTATATGCACACACGCTTTTTTTTCCCCTCTACTTCTGTGGGTTGGTCGACTGGATTGCCCTCCCCGAATGCACCGACAATCTGAACAAAAACAGGGGTCGTCCTGTCAATACAGGAAGTAACAGACATTAGACATGTACACAAATAAGAGGAGTTTGTTAAGGGCCAGGCGCAGGCATAAACCACGAGAAAAAACAAAAAACAAAATTATATTTATATAAAGTAAAAAGGCCTGAAAAATTCAGGTGACACATTACTCCTCAAAACACACCAGGAATGGAGGTTTTTCTTATTTTAGTTTTGACACAAAAAGTTTTCAAAAATGTCCCCTCCACCCCAATAGTTTTATTCTAAAAATGTTTTAGCAGCGCCAGCCATTTTGCTCAGTAAAGATTTTCTGTAGTGTAGTTATGAACACTTATCTTTTGTTTATATATATTTATATAGCTATCCTTGTAACGTTAAG